GGCCACTAGAGAAATGCAAATTAAAATAGTTAGTGATAAGATATCACTATACACTTATCAAAACAGCTAAATTAAAAAATAGTGACAATATCAAGTGCTAGTGAACCTGTGGAGAGACAGAATTTCTCATACTTTGCTCATAGGAATATATAGTGGTACTCTGGGTGACTCAGTAATCACACTCCTGGCTTTTATCCTAGAGAAATGAAATCTTATGTTCACACAAAAAGCTGTTCATTGCAACTTTATTTTTAATAGCCAAAAACTGAAAGCAAAATTTCCTACAATAGGTGAATGGTTAAACAAATTGTGATACATCCACAGCATGGAGTACTACTCAGCAATAAAAAGGCATGAACTGTTGATACACACAACTTGGATGGATGTCAAGGATGTTATGCTGAGTGAAAAAAGCCAATCTCATAAGATCACATACTGGATGGTTCCATTCATATAACATTCTCAAAATGACACTATTATAGAGTTGGAGAATAAAGGGAAATTACTGATTTCCAGGAATTAGGAATGTTGGAGGGGAAGAGGGTAGCTGTTGAAAGGGATAACACAAGGAAGGTCTTTATGGTGATAGAATAGTTCTATATCTTGATTCTGGTGGTGCTTACAGAAATCTGCACATGTAGTAAATCGGCATAGAACTATACACACACATTGAACCAATGTCAGTTACTTCGTTTTGATATTGTAAGGTTACATAAGACGTAACCATTGAGAAAAACTAGATGAAGGGTACATGGGACCTCTCTGTAGTATATTTGCAACTTGCTGTAAATCCGTAATTATGTGTAACTTCCTGTGAATCTATAATTATTTTAAAATTAAAAGTAAAAATACAAGAACAAGAAATCCCTGGGGTAGAAGCCTACTTTTGTGGATTGTTTTTTTGGGGGGGTTGGGAGGTAGGGGGAGTGTGGGCAGAGAGAAAGTAATAGTGGAAATGGAAAGAATGTGGGGAATGTGAGTGACATGAACATTTAGTAATATATTCTACATATATAATAAGTGCTCAATACAAACTGACAATAATCTATTTTCTAGTCAGCAATGCCAGTTTTCTTTGTTTATCCTTTTCTTCTATACCCATTCTAATTAATAAACATTAGGTAGCAACTCCTTTACCCCCTGTGTCATCTTGACTCCAATTTCAGTGAGATTCAAAAAATTTTAAAACAAAGATATTATGGCATATAATTTGATGTCCTCATTGATAGAAATTTCTAGAAAAGTGCTGTTAAATAGAACTTTGTGTGATGATGAAAATGTTGTAATCTGCACTGTTCAATAAGGTACTAACCACATATGACTGTTGAACATGTGAAATGCGGCTAGCCACAACTGAGGAACTGAATTTTTAATTTTATATACTTTTTAACTTCATTTTAAATGTTAATAGCCACATGTAGCAAGTGGCAACAATATTGGACAGTTCTAGGGGAAAAAAAAAAACCCTGTCTTTAAAAGATGTATTTGGTGCAGGACCAGCATGTATAGATTGGTTAATATATGCCAGACACTGAACTAACTTTGCCTGAAACATGTTTCATCAACTCTACATTTTTTTTCATCAACATTTTTTTTCACAGTGGGATATGTCTTTGAATCAATGGCATGTTACAGTTACAGTAGATCAGATGGTAGTTGTCCTACAGTTGTCATTTGCGTGTGTGAACTTGGTCATAGCTGTCATTCAGTTGAGTTATGTATATTTGGTAGTACCCATGTTGAGTTTGTCTTTTAAAATCTCTTCAGAATCTTACCCTTTGATTTGACTTGAAACAGAAATTTATTGTATACACAGAAAGACATAGAAACAGAGCAGTGAGCATAAATCTGATGTTGGTCAAATAAATATTTCTTGTGGAGATATGACTATAATTCCATATTTTCTTTCAAAATAACCACCAAATTCTTATGGGTCATAAGAAAGGAATATACCTACAAGTAGGTGAGGCTATCTGTCACTGAGATAAGCAAAAAGATTGTCTATCACACATGCCAAGCCATGCAACTGAAGGCAAGAGAAACAGCCAAATCTCTCACAATAGCTGAAAAAATTCTAAGCAACAAGAAGCTGCTGTGATTAATCTATTTGTCATGCAGGATTGTTGTTAAGACATTGTGCCATAGTTTAATTGATAGCATTTTCTTCTTAGTGGAGCATAAAGTAATGGTGTTTCTTACAATTCAATGGGTTTACGATTGTTAAAATACAGCCTTCTATAGTCCTCACAACAATTCTAATGAGGTCAGTGCTGTCATTACCCTCATTTTATCCATGAGGCAACTGAGAGATGGAGCACTTTAAAGATTTTATTTATTTATTTTTTCCCCCAAAGCCCCAGTAGATAGTTGTGTGTCATAGCTGCACATCCTTCTAGTTGCTGCATGTGGGACGCGGCCTCAGCATGGCCGGAGAAGCAGCGCGTCGGTGCGAGCCCGGGATCCGAACCCGGGTCACCAGCAGCGGAGCGCGCTCACTTAACCACCAAGCCACAGGGCCGGCCCGAGATGGAGCACTTTAATAAGCTTAAATGAAATTGGACCTTCTTGAGAAGGCCAAGAAGTCTTTCAAAAGCGACTCTCTTTTTCCAGGAGGAGTTGGCTTTGGGAGTGGGGCACAAGTTAGATTTTTCCCAACACAAACTACCCCCTGGTTTGTTGGAATGATGGTTCCTATGGGATGTTGTGCTCCTGCACAAATTACTGTGCAAGAACATCGGGATGTTCAGAGTTTTTTAAAAACTTTTTTATTAGGGAGAATTTGACAAATAGACAAAATTAGACAAAATAATATAGGGAACTTCTATATTCTATTCATTCTAATTCAATTGGCCAATCATGTTATTTCCTCACCTCCTGTTTTATTAATGAAGCAAATCCCAGACATCACAATGTTTCACCCATACATATTTCAGTATGCATCTCTAAAAGATTAGCCCTCTTTTCTTTTTCAACATAACTACAATACCATTATCAATAACATTATCTTGCAGGGCCCAGTCAAGAGAATGAAAGTACACAGTAATTTTAACAAGGAAAGTTTAATATAATAGGGAATTGGCTTCTAAGGGGTAAAGAAAACTAACAATATAGGAATAGGGCCGGCCTCGTGGCGTAGTGGTTAAGTGCACGCACTCTGCTGCTGGCGGCCTGGGGTTCAGATCCCTGGCACGCACTGATGCACCGTTTGTCAGGCCATGCTGTGGCGGCGTCCCATATAAAGTGGAGGAAGATGGGCACAGATGTTAGCCCAGGGCCAGTCTTCCTCAGCAAAAAGAGGAGGATTGGCATGGATGTTAGCTCAGGGCTGATCTTCCTCACAAAAAAAAAAAGAATATAGGAATGGCAGAAAGAGAGAGCAGCGACTATGGCTGAGGCAGAGCACTCGAGGAAGGAGCAAATCTGGAAAAGCCTCCACCCCACCCCCCAGGCTAAGATCCTGACCTCACTGGAGAAGGTGTGGCTGTGGCTTACCACTGCACGTTGGAGACGTTTGTAGAGGTGCTGTGCTAGCAGACCTCACTGCGAAGCTGCTCTCTGGGAGCTGGGGGAAGCTGTCCATGGGGAGGTGCTGCACCACGCAACTCGTTGAGAAACTGCTGTCAAGGGTGGTGTGATGGGAAGTCACCCTTTGGAGTGCCAGGTGAGTCTTCCTGCTGGTTGTCACACACTCTAGGAGTGGCCAATAGGAGCACACCAGAGCCAGGAAGAAGAGCCCCTTCTTCCTCCAGTGTCTTTCGTGTCTCCTATGACAAAGCTTAAACTTGTACCAGCTAGCAAGGGAGAGATGTTCCAGTATCAAAGCAAGCCAATGAAGGATGGATGTGGAATTAAGAGGCAATAGGTCGGGCCGACCCCGTGGCTTAGCGGTTAAGTGCGTGCGCTCTGCTACTGGCGGCCTGGGTTCAGAACCCGGGCGCGCACCGACGCACAGCTTCTCTGGCCATGCTGAGGCGGCGTCCCACATACAGCAACTAGAAGGATGTGCAGCTATGACATACAACTATCTACTGGGGCTTTGGGGAAAAAAAAAAAAAAGAGGCAATAGGTAATCTGCAGTCCTCCTCTTTGACTACTCAGCTTCCATATGCATCCCTCTACATACATTTAAACTTCATACAACTAAACAACTCTATGTTTCTACTTAACAAGATACAACTACCCTTCACAGAAATGAAAAAGTTCTTACCCTTTCCCCCAAATCAAGAGATGCACAGATCCAACAGTCACTGTATCCATTACTAGCTATATTAATTACTGCCCAAATTCAGTCACACTAAATTGTAAAGTTTATCTCCAACAACTTGTCTATAAAATAATACTGGGAAGAAGGAGAGAACAACAGAATGGATAGCACACACAAATAACATACATAACAAGCAAGGAGAAAATGTGCAAAGCTACTGCACTCCTGTTTCTGTAACCGATATCTATGTCTTTCAAGAGGTTGTAATTGATAGCTATGGCTTTCTTTTCCCACTACCCTTTCCACATTTCCCTTGCCCTCAGCCACGACCTCAGCTGGCCAGGATTCTTTGCCAGTTGTAGTGATTCAGATCTTTGTTCCTAAGGGATCCATGTCCAAAGTCATATACCGTTTTTTGTTTTTTTGGGGTTTTTTCCTGTAATTTTACATTAATCTTAACTATTGCACAAGAAAGTGCCAAAAGAAGCCCCAGAGAATCCCCTGGATTCTAGACATAGTCCTTCCTGCCCCAATTGTGTTGCAGCAACTCAATTTCTCCCTGGAAATCAGGATCAATCATTCTAGTTAGTAAACTCTTTTTTGGCCCGTTGGTTCAGTCGCATGAGGAATCCAAAATGGCCAGGTGGCAGTCTTGTGTTTCAATTCAATGGGACCATTGTTGTGCTGCTGGTTGAAGTACACCCTCCTTGGGCACTAAGACCTCCAGACCAGCAGAGCTCAAGACTGCCAGTGTGGGAAGCAAAAATTTTGCAAGTGGGTTTTTGTATATATAAATGAGAGAAGTGATTCCTACTTTCACCCTTTGAATCCTAGACCCATGTGTTCTCACTATGGGGGAAATAGCACCATATAATGATCTTTGATTCAATGCATAGACTGCATCCTGTAAAACAGACTCCTATCCTTTCAAGATGTTGTGTCCCAACTGGTATTGTAACTGTGTCTTCATTAAACCATTCCAATTTCAGTTATCCCAGCCACTTCTAGATGATAGGGTATGTGACTGCATTTCCTTTGCTGTGAAATGAGTTCCTTGATCAGAAGCAATGCTATAGGGAATGCAGTTTTGTGAGTTCACAGATGGTGGCGCTGGCAGAAGCAGAGAGGGAAGTCAAATCCATATCCAGAATATGTATCTGTTCCAGTGAGGAATGATGATAATGACGAATCTCTGCCCCTTCCAGTATAATCAAACTGCCATTATTTGGCTGGCTTGTCTCCTGGGAGAATTGTGCCATTTTGGGGGCTCAGTGTTGCTCTCTGTTGGCAGGTTAACAGCAGCTATTATCCAGGTCAGCCTTGGTAAGAGGAAGTTCATATTGTTGAGCCTGTGCATTGCCTCCATCATTGTCACCATGGCCACTTTGTTCATGGCCTATTGAGCAAGCAATGGGGTGACTGGGCAAAGAGACTGGCTGACATCCACTCACCATGTAATTTTGTCAGAACCTCCTGTGCAGTGGATGTTCTTTGGTGGGCATTTACATGAAACATAAACATCTTCAGTCTGTGCCCATTCTGATAGGTTCATCTACATGCCTCTCCACCAGACTTCCTTGCCACCAATCTTCCAGTCCTGATTCTTCCAAGTCCCTGATCATCCAGCCAACCCATTAGTAACAGCCCATTCTAGACAAAGTGGAGAAAAATTGTACTGCTTATACTTCTGCCCACTGAGAGGATTTTCCTTCACTGCTGTGCTTCACGGCTACCCGAGTGGGGCTGTAGTGCCGCAGCTATTTACTTTCAAGTGGTATCAGCATGTCATGCAGAGCCATCCATAAACCAGGTTACAGTTTTTTCTTCTTTAGTCAACAGGCCATAAAGAACACCCCACGAGGCCATAGGCACGGATTTTGGAGAGGAAGCGAAGCGAGGTCAGTGTTGAAGGGGTCTGAGCCACCTGCTCATGCAACTTATACCTTGTGGATCTTCCCTCCAGGCAATTACCCTCATTACCAAAGAGAGCTAGTAGTCTGACCTCTACCACCATAGATTAATTTTACCTGTTTGAACTTTATATAAATACTCTTTTGCATCTGACTTCTTTCCCTCAACATGATGGTTTTGAGATTCATTCATGTTTTGTGTTTGTCCATTTATTCAGGTCTTCTGTAAAGCTTTTAAATAACTTAGATATTTTCCCCATCTAGATGTTGTGCATTAAAAAAATTAATTCCCAGACACTTTGCAGTTTTATTCTATTGTAACTTAGGTCATTTTTTCAATGTTTTATTTCTACAACTTCTTTTTTATTGGTTGTTGCTGTTGGAAAAGAATTAATGTTTGTAAGTCAATTGTGTATCTGGGAAACTTACTGAACATTATTAGTTCTAACAGTTTATCTTGACTCTCTTGTGTTATCTATATTAAAGTTACTTTCAGCTGCAAATAACTATGGTTTCCTCTTTTCCCTTCTAAGCCTGATGCCTTTTATTTCTTTCTCCTGTCTTACCGCATTGGCTAGGATCTCCAGGACTGTTTCTACAGTCGTGATGATAGTGGACACCCTTGCCTCTTCTGAGACTAAATCTCTGTCAAAAAGGACGTTTACTGTGGGCTTTTGGCACAGAGTCTTTATCAAGCGAAGGATATTTTCTGCTATTCCAGTTTTCTGAGTCCTTTAAAATTATAAATTGGTTTGAATTTCATCAGATTCTTTTTATTTATATATTGACATAGTCATGTGATGTATTTTTTCCTCTATTCCATTATCGTGAGGAATTGCATTGTTAGATTTTTCTAATGTTAAACTGTTCTTGCATTGCTAGGATAAACTCAACTTGCTCACGATTTTTTTAAATAGACTTTAGTTTTTAAAGTAAGTTTAGGTTCACAGCAAAATTGGGCAAAAGGTACAGAGAGTTCCCGTATACCTCCTGCCCCCACATATGCACAGCCTCCCTCATTATCAACATCCCCCACCAGAGTGGTACATTTGTTACAACTGATGAACCTACACTGACACACCATTATCATCCAAAGTCCTTAGTTTACATTAGGGTTCACCCTTGGCGTCATACATTCTATGGGACTGAACAAATTTATAATGACATGTATCCATAATAGTAACATACAGAGTAGTTTCACTGCCCTATAATTTTTTATTTTAAAATTCACTTAGCTAATATTTTATTTGAGATTTTTACATTTATTTAATATCTGAAATGGGCTTATACTTGATGTTGACAGCTCATAAATCTACATTTTTATCCCTAAACTCCAAATTTGTATACCTACCAGTAGTGGACATGTCTAAATACCTCAAAAACACTGACTTTATTAACGTCTGCTCCCCTAAGCCTGTTACTTGCATACTTTTTATTTCCGGTATTGGCATTGCCGTCCACTGAGTCCCATAAGCCAGAGATTGACGATCATACTGGACTCTTGCATCTTCCCCACTCCCACCTATTTTTCACCTCTTAATTAAAAACAAAAATCTCCTCTCTCGTGCTCTCTTGCCTTAGTTTCTTAAATAAACTGCCTGCTTTCAGATTACTTTCTAACACCTCCGACTTAACAAAGATTTATCCGCTACAGTGCTGCTGGAGTGATTTTACTAAACAAAAACCAGACTGTGTCACTCAGCTACCTGAAAACTTCCGGTGACACTACAGCACCCAAAGACTAAAGTCTAGTCTCCACAGTCTGGCATACATGACCCTCATCTTGGTTTCTAACTTCATATCCCAGCAACTTCTGTGCAGGACTCCATTTGCCCTATATACACCATGCTGAAGGTTTCGCACACACCTCCCCTAATTTAATCCTTCTCATCCTCATTGGTGGCCCTTCCTGTTTTCTTGACTGATTCCATGACATCTCCCTGACTTGTAAACTAGTTGGAGTCTCCTCCGCCAGGAGTTCTCTTCTCTAATCTATCCTTACTTTCAAAGTGATTTAATCCTGCCTCATGGCTTTAAATACCACACCATGCTGATTCTTTCAAATTTATACCTCCAGCTCAGACCTCTCCCCTGAACTCCAGAATAATATATCCAACTGCCTCTTCAGCACTGTTGACTGGATGTATAATAGACATCTCACATTCCAAAAGTCAACTGGTTTTTCCCTCCCAAACATGCTCTTCATAGTCTTCCCATTTCCTTAAATGGCAGCTCCATCCTTTCAGTAATTCCACAGTTAATGAAATAGAGAGTGCCTGGGTGTCGTTCAGGAATGTGACAAACTGTGACTACTGGGCTGAGACTTGAATGATGAGAAGAAGGCAGTTAGGCAAAGGCCTGAACAATGAGAGAAAAACCCTAAAGCAGGTACATGTGTATACTAAATAATGACATGTGTGTACTAAACAAAGGGAAAAGTGGCAAGAAACGAAGTAGTAGGAAGTAGGAGAGTTGAAGGAGGAGAGTTGGCAGGAGACAGATCACATTAGGCCTTGTAGGCCATGGAAAGGGATTTGAATTTTATTCCAAGTGCAACGAGAGGGTGTTTAAGCAAATGAATGACATATTCTCATATACATTTTAAAAAGCTCACTCGTCCTATTTGGAGGATGGCCTGCAGGGAACAAGAGCAGAAGCAGGAAGCCCACTGAGGAGACCATGGCAGTAATCGGGAGTGAGATCATGGTAGATTGGACTAGGGCAGTGGCAGCAGAGGTGGTGAGAGGTAATCCAACTGAGAACATATATTCTGGGGACAGAACAGACAAGACTTGCTGATGGATTGGATGTGAGCTGTGCAAAGAGCAATTAAGAATGACTTCCTAGGAAATGCAAATCAAAACAACACTAAGATATCACCTCATGCCCATTAGAATGGCTATAAT